GTACATACGGGACCCACAATGCCTGAGAGGGGTACGGCCGAGTGTTGTATGGTATGGTATGCGCATGTGTGTAGACATGTGTACAACCCACACATGTCAATGGGGGTACATACGGGACTCACAATGCCTGAGAGGGGTACGGCCGAGTATTGTATGGTATGGTATGCGCATGTGTGTAGACATGTGTATATATGATCTTGTGACTCGCCAATATGCGACACGGGGATATGGGGGTTGCAGGCGCGATTGGATGGGGCAGACGGTATAGGGGGACTACGATGCCAAGGACGACGATAGTCATAGCCAGAGCCAACTACCGACGCATGCGTAGAGATGCCTTTCTACCTCTAGCACGGCATAGGACTTGTGGGATTGAAAGGTACACGGCCGTATTTGTCTACGAATGTCATCCGAGAGGGCTCATGTGTATATACCTACACTGTTAGAGTGCCGCACACAGACGAGGGCGATGTCATTCGCGATCCCGTATGTAAACACAGTTACAATAACGGACCGCCAGGGAAGTGTATGGACAACTCGTCGGTCATGGGGGCACACAAAGATACAGCCAAGGTGGTGTATAAAGGGTATAGGACTGTGTATGCATACGCAAGCATGTATGTGTGTGTACGCATATGCATGCATGTATGTGTGTGAGTGTACATTCATATGCATCAAAACTATCGGTCAGGGATCTGGCGATTGCACACGCAAATGTAGGGCAGGCGGACGGGGAATGGGGCGACGACGAAGATGAAGTGGAGCGTTACCAACTACCCGCGCGATTCAATGGCGTTAAATACGTTCTTCCAACGCGTTTGATAAGGAGGTAAACGACGGTTTGTGTATACGAATACACAAGTATGGATGCGTTTGTACGTAACAATGTACAGACAGAAACCCTCAGCAACTGCTCACCTATGACAGAGGGCACACAAGAGTGCACCATCGCCGGCGTGGGCTGTATGTATGTATGTATGTTAGTATGCATGTACGGTGGTAGATACGTACATGGTTGGGGCCAGGGGCCATAGACACTCAGGCGGAGAGGATCCCGCTACGCTATAAGATTGAAACCTTCGGGAGGATCGCGATAGAGAACCCCTGGAATTGCTCATACATGTCGATGAACTACGTACCGAAGCGCCACTCTAGTGCAGGTTTAAAATGTATGCGTACATGCATGTTCATGTTTACTCAGGTACATGTTCATGTGTCGAAGAAATTTACAATCAAGACCCACCCCATGCATCTGCACCACTCATGTCAACGATATGTGTTAGTTAAACCTATTCTGGGGTATGATGGCATTACCTTTTCGGGTTTGTTTCGGTCGGTAAGGTCTCTGCTCTTAATATATAACGATGTGTAGTGGGTATAGCTCCACACACAAAATTACTGTCCGTAATATATATATATATATATATATATATTATATTATAATATATATACATAATATGTG